GGCGTTCAATCAAAATTGTTGGTCCCCGATCACTTCCGTAATTCGGTATGCGAGATCGCGATCGCAAGCTCTGTATTTCGAACCAGCACACAGTGGAGCGAGTCAACAGGAGAGGTCGGACAAAATCTGGAAACTTTGAACGCTCATAACTCCGTTTATACAAAAATTCGAAGTTCCAAAAGTGGTTTCATCGGTTTTCTCGTAAAATTTTCTGCCATGGGCACCCCTTGAAAATTAAAATGTGATGCACATGAAAGTGACACATGAAAGTTTGCGGTTTAAGTCAAAAATTTCATGTCCGACCTCTGTAATTGACTCGATCCACTGTACGGCAGAACCGGACGATTTAGAAATTTTAGAAGGCTTCGATGATTTTTATTTCGAGTAGCGAGAGAAAATCTGAATTTTCGTTTCCATCCGCACCAATTCCTCGTTAAGTCTGGTTTTTTGCTCCGGAGGAAGCTAAGTTGGAGAGTCTTAAAATGAATGGCATTGCAGAGCGGTTGTCCCAGCAGAATTCGAATATTAGAGTTATTCTTTAAAACAAAACAAAAAATCACTCACTTTAAAATTTACGTCGGGCCCACTCTCTACACTTCCCCCACAAATAGACACTTTTTGTAACGTCCAATGATAGAAGTACGGCTGAGTGGCAACGTACCCAGACCTCAAACCCTGATCCTTAGAACGCGGCACCGCTTGAAAATATTTATCCCTACACTTGACTGCCTCTGATATCCAGGATAGAGTGCAGGGGCTTGGTAGCGCTGTTATTTTAGCCGTCGGGTCGTGTCGCATCGCATTGCATGTAGCCGTTGCACCGACTCTCTAATAGTGTCGAGGGTTCAGCCAAGAATAAACTGGGCTAATTAAGCCCGCATCATGATGTATTTTCAAAGGAAAATGAAAAAAAGTGCACGTATACTTTGAGGTGTGTGGTGTACACCTTGAAATGTAGGTGCGAAGAAATGTTGACTTGACTTTTTTCTACTTTGAACTCTATGCCCAAGTCCCGCTTGGCAATAGGATTTAAAATAGCGAGCCCTATTTTTAAGAATATGCCGGTAAGTTGCAAGGAAAGCCACCATTCTGCAGGTTGTTAGAGTGTACAATTTTAGCTCTGATCTGCGAGTTGCGAAACTGGTTTCAGACAAAAGCAATAACATTTCATCGAGAGCAATTGTGCAGGATTAAAAATAAACTGATCGAAGAAATTACAGATGTCCGAAAGTTTGAAAAATTCATTTCTACAGCAGAGGACATTTGCAGGAACTAAACATGAGAACATGCACGTGGCCAATCTCTAAAACCGGACAAATATCGCGAGGGAGACATAAGAAAATGTAATGGAGTTGGACAGATAGGCCCTTGATTAAGGTGGGGCAAAAATAAAAGAAGATAATTATACCACAACTACAAAGGGTCATTAGGTGCAAAGAACGCCAAAAGAATAGACACTTATTGAATTTAGAGGACGATCAATCGAGAATTAAGATTAACATAGACAAATTTGGCGATATTGATTTCGGCTTCAGAAACGATTTATCTTAAGCACTTCAAACATCATTACTGATGCTAATATGACTTGAAATTTTGACACCAAGCACTTAACATCATAAGAGAGTTTAGCAAAAAAATCTGGATACCGATGTATTAATCTCAAAGTTGCTTTTTTGGATAAATTGAAAAATTTGAGTTTCTACCTTTCAGACCTTTCTGTCCGACTCCATCACAAATAATAAAATCAGTCAAAATGTTGACACTCACTGGAAAAAAAAACACATTGGATCGAGAGTCCAGGCTCTTAAAAACATCGACAAGAAAAAGTACTCTTGATTCAATCAGAATCTAGTTTAAATCAAGAACCAAGCCTCTTAATTTAAGCGGAGTTCGTTTTGATTCAAGCAAGAATCCGATTGAATCAAGAGTATTTTTTCTTGTCAATGTTTTCAAGAGTCTGGACTCTAGATCCAATGTATTTTTTTCCAGTGCTGCCACGCATCGAGAGTAAAAAACAAACAATGAATAAGTAATGCAAAAAAGATACGAACCAAAACTTTCTCTTTTTTGACTACGTGAGATCCAGGTGCTCCATGAGACTCTCGAGGTATCGAGAGGATGGATTTATGGGTGCGAATCATGATGATTGTTTTTCCTTAAATTTCCACCATCATACAATAACGTTAAAATCCATATCCGTGCACTAACGTAACACAGTATCTATCCATCCATTTTGAGCACTTGTCGAGATTTTCAACACAAGAAATTCGGCCGCAGTCCGAAAACGTGCTAGCGCTGGCACGTTTAACCGTATTCGCTTATCACTGATATCTTTGGTTTAGTTTGAGCGCACTTTGATCATTTGTAAGTTGATCCGCACTTAAAATTAAATCAATGGAGCAGTCGAGAAAATTCGCAATTTAATTGGTGCCGGTTGAATATGATCACAGGTTTAAAAATTGGAGTTGATAACGTATAAATCTTAGGAAAATTCTGGCTGGAAAAAAAAAATAAGGGTGGCGTGAATGATCAAATGCAATGCGGAAGCCCAGTTTGACCAGGCTTGAGACTCAAAAACGAATCCTATTTACCATTTAAATGTAAACCAATAGAATTAGTAGAATATAGACAAGTCCGAAAATTTAAGGATTCACCTTTCCCTTCAACAGATCGACGACAAAACTGTAGAGAGATGTAGCATTACTGAAAAACGATACGATTAAAATCAGACTTGCGACGAAAAATAAAGAGACAAAAGAGGCTGTGGTTCGAAAAAAATCACAATCAGCAGGTCACCTACAAGTCCTAGAACAGTCTTAAGCCTGGTTCTCGTCAAAATACTTGAGACTAGAGTGTCACGTAATGAGTGGGCGCCTTAAGCCAAAAACGTTACTGAAAAGAGGAAAGAGACCTTGAGTTGCGGCTCTGAGTTAGGTTTGCTTAGGTTAAGCAACTAAACTAACTCCGCGACAATGCGTGAAGTATCACACGAAGCTGAAGGCGCTCCGAATTGAAATCGTTTTTCAGAAGTCTCGAGCTCCCAAAAACCCCAAGTGGCGTGAACGCGAAGTGAAATTAGCGCCATAAAAGCGTTCGACACTCCGCAAAAAGAGAAGATTCCGCTCCGTAATTGTTCAAGTCACTCCGCAAAGAGAGCTGATTCCACTCCGCGTTCATATCACTCAGGGGTTTTGGGCGCTATAGACCCTGGCATCGACTTCACTAGAAAAACAAACACATTGGATCTAGAGTCCAGACTCTTGAAAACATTGACAAGAAAAAGGACTCTTGATTCAATCAGATTTAAGCTTAAATCAAAACGAAATTCGCTCAAATTAAGAGGCTTGGTTCTTGAATCAAGAGTATTATTTCTTGTCGATGTTTTTAAGAGTCTGGACTCTAGATCCAATGTGTTTTTTTTCCAGTGTTCCATTTCAAAATTATTCACGGTGAAAAAGATTTCTTTTATTTCCGCGCGCTAACTGACGCGTCGTTATTCGGACTGATTACCATGCTACGTCCTTGAAACCCTACAGCATGAGAAATCTCAACGGGGCTCTAGCTAGAGCTGGATTTCATATCCCTCTCTGATTCGAATCCGCCTCATCTACTCGACCTCCTCCGTAGGAAGAACAAGGAGAGTACCATCTGCCAGACACTCGACAGACGAGCCGAGCGGTGCACGGATGCATGCGGTGCGGTACCGAGTGCACCGCGGCTGCACCGGCCAGACGAGACCGCGAACCCGCGGATCGAGTCGCGGTTTGGCGGGCTGGAGGCTGCTCGACGGCTCGGCTCCCACCTCCGCTTCCACACACTCGTTCATTCATTCCCTGCTCGCCTCGCTTCATTCATGAATATCCGAACCGCCTCCGTGAGCCAGCGCCGCCGCCGCGCCGAGCTCCAGAACGGAGAAATCTTTATTCGGTGCGGCTGGGCTGCTCCGAGCCCGGTGTCATATTTGATGCTCCTGGACCTATACTATCTTTTATTTCAGATCGAGCGAGGCTACTTTCATCCAGTTCCCCCAAGAGATAGGATTTTTGATACCATGACAAGCGACCTGAGAAAACCGAAAGTCCGTCACAAAATTATTGCGAAATATACGAAAAGGTTGTTTCAAATCTTGTAAAATTGACGACAACTTCGGTTAAGGGCGTATGAAACTTCCAGTGTTTTTAAGCTTGTGCAACATAGCTTTTCAAATTACCTGAAATTGAAAGAATTTACAGGTACCTTCTCAAGGCAAATCTGATCTCATCACCAGAAAGGTTTGATATCTAGAAAATGTTGATTGAAAAGATGATTTTACAATCAAAACTTTAGGAAAACTGGCTTTCAATTCAATGTCACCTCTGGATTGCGAATTCCATTTCTTTCTCCTGTCTTCAAAGCTAAAAATTTTCCAAGGGATGAGGTTTGCAGAGCTTTCATTTCTTCTATTTAAATTGTCATTCCTGACGAAAGAATAACTGTTATTTTTAGTTATATTGGTCATTTTTACTCTTTAAAGTCATCAAACAGCAAAGCACTCTGAGATTATTTCTGGGTGAGTCTACTTTACTTGAGCGTGTGAACGCATCTGACTCATCATTAGCCTCCTCTGAACACTAATGGGGGGGGGGGGGGGCGAATCAATGATTAAGCAAACAATTGAGGAGTTTTTCAGTGTAACCACGTACAGCCTTTACACTGCTGCTAAGGTGTTTCATTTTCGCCTAGGCTATACATCGAGTTAAATACCCATGGATGTGAACAAATTTTACAGAAATTTTAGGAAAATTACGGAGAAAATTCGTTGAAAAAATCATATCCCTGACTCCCGCCTGGCTTTCTAGGAGTAATGCTCTTGTGTGCACGATCTTAGCAGCATTGCAAAGGCTATCAAAAGAACACTACTCGACTGATACTGGACGATGGCCGAAGAGACTCACGGTGGATCGTTGCACAAAGCAAAGGACCGAGAATGGTAGCGTTTGAAATCGAGTCTCGAAAAACAATAGCGAGTGAAATGTTCGCCAGTGCGCCGAAACAGAGCGGGAAGATGCACGGGAAAAAATCGAGAGAAAATTGGATAATGGGCGAATCCGCACTCCGATGCAGGATAAAGGGCAGGTTGAAAAAAAAAACCCTGGGTGGTGAGAAGATTCGACGGGATTTAGGGGGTTGCCAAGTTTACGGATCCACTTGTTGCGGAGCGCTAATCCGCCCCCTTCCCCATCTGGCGACCCGCTACAGCTGTTGGGGATTTCTTATTATTGTCCCAAAACACGGCTCGAAACTGGGACTCCGGCTCCTGGCCCAGAAATCCGACTCCGTAACCTCTTTCAAGATGGTGCACTCACCCCCGCCCCCTCCCCCTCCCCGGGAACCAGCATCATCATCCCCCGCAGCCACAGTAAATCTTACGGAGCACGTCTCTGTTCGACGCACACTGTTTTTCTCACTGATCTCACTTCACACGCGCGTATAGTACTTCCACCACTAAATTAGGAGCTCCTTTCTTCGTCATCCCTTGCACCCGGGGAGGATATTTCACTCTTGCTACCACCATCAACCCGCTCCTTCGTCAAAATGAAGATGCACTCCTCCGATCTTGTCTACACACGAGCACTGATTTTCTCACGTCTCCTTCGCTAATAAACTTGCACTCTTTTCATATCCTCATCACTGGGCGTTTCTACTCTTATCTTGTAAAAACTATGTGTCATATTTCGGGAAGGAGGCCCTTTCATTTGAGTGTCCCTCTCATTTATGTTTCTGTATTTCTCCAAACTGATCTAAAGTGGATCGTGAGCAACAGAATGGGTCCAACACGCACGACATATGATATTGTTTCGATGGTTGAATCTAATTAATAGGACGAGAATAATAATGTTTACTGAGCACCATCGACCTTTTGAAAACACCATGATTTTTGTGCCTTTAATCTATCCGCAATTAAAAAAATGTACTGATTGTTTTACATGCATTGCCTGTGCGACCGAGGAACCAGAAAGTAAGTAAGCCGAGGTGGCCTTGGCATCGCTGGGACACGATATGGATGATGTTATCATGTGTTCTTTCAGTGAAAACGCTTTAATTGATATTCACAGGTAAAGAGAATGGTAAGGATTACAGGATTTATCGCTGTTTTTGATTCACAAAAATCGAATGGATGCACGGGGAAAACTAAGAAAAAATGGCCAAAACTTGCGGGAAATACCGCAGCCCCATGCTTTGTGGGTAGTGAAAAATCGATTCATTTCTTTTCAAAATATTTAAGCTGAAACTTTTATTTAGCGACTTCCATTCCGCAAATGTTAAAATACCGCAGTAAAAGGAAAAGGTCTGAAGTTTACACGAGTAAAATTTTCATGAAAATATCAATTATTTCTCAAATGGTAGCAAAACATCCATCGATTACTGTAAAGTTTACTTGTGGGGTTCTTCATTGTCGACTGCTGCTGGCCAGTACTTAAAATTGATAGATAAAGCTATAGACATATAGTGCATATGGGGTATGGAGGTATCCTATAGGTTGAAATGGGTGACTCCTATAGACTAAGGGAGAAAATGATGGACTAGCCTCGTAGGTTGCCGTTACTTAGTCTATTACCTACCTTCTTTGTCCATGGAACCACCCGCTTCCACCAATAGGACCCCCCATATCTCTTTTGTCTTCTTTGTCTATAGCTTCGTGTATCAATTTCAGAAATCGCCCCGCTGAGAAGTTACAGACATTGAACCCGAGTCACGAATCCGTTTTTAGGCGCGAAAACCCTGGCCTTTTGAACAAGACTCGGAATTCGGCGCTTGTACCGTTGGGTCCAGTTGAGAAAAAAGCGAACAAGGGGCCGCGTAACGGCAACAGGGTGCATGACACTCCTCTCTGTGGGCCGCCCGAGATAAGCGGAGAGGGTGGATAGGGGGTGAGAAAGAGAGAGACGAGCATCCCTTAGCTCCGCGGAGGCCCCGTGTGAACCGGTGGCGCAACAGGTGGAGGGAGGCCGAGACCCTTCACCCTGCTCAAGTGTTTGATCTACTTTGTGCTGCGTAGCCTCTGTTTGCTGCAAATAGGAACTCACTGCCGCCGCTGCTCATCAATGGGGCCCGCGAATAGATATGCTTGACCATTTCGGACGGGAGAGCAGGAGGGTGGGGCTGGGGGTAGGGAGAGGCAAAGTCTGATTTTGAATGGAAATTTTAACTCCTAACAGTGGAGATTTGGAGCTGGGAGCGATCCTATGTGAAATAACAGTGAGGATATCGATGGCGAAAGTTGGAAATGCGTGTCTAGGGTGCATCTTTTAAAACTCTCTGTTTTAGGTTGAATGCATCTTTTAAAACTCTCTGTTTTAGGTTGAATGCACCTTTTAAAACTCTCTGTTTTAGGTTGAATTCTTTTTAAGAGATGTTAATTCTAACATCTTTCTGTGAATACTTATGAAAAAAATGAGAAAATTTAAAGAATTTTTGGCAAACTTGATCGTTGGTCTGTTTTTATTGAAATGAAACCTAGATCATCCAAAGTGGTCAAAATTTGAGACGTGTCAAAAAAAAAACGCATTTTTCGATTTAAAGCCATTGAAATACTGATTGTTGCACTATAAAAATGAACCGAAAATTTCAATTTTGATTCTGGAACGAATTGAATGACAACGAGGCAAGTTCACATGTATTCTGAAATGCCCTATAGCCACCTGATTTTTCGAGGTCTCAAAACCAAAAATGCCCTTGCTTTCCCCTGACTGCCAATGACATTCGGCATAAAATAACCCAGCAGAAATATATCTGGTACAAAACTCGAGAACTGCCAATCGATCACAAGGGTGCGACTGGAGCCATTAAAATTTATAACGAAATTAGATAATTCAAGGTTTAGTCAGTAACAAGAATCAAAAATTCCTTGCCTTTCTCTGTCCCCTCACAGTTTAGGATTACGTTCCTGTTTTTTTTTCAAATATTCCCTTTCTGAACAAGGCGAGGATCCAAAGAGTATTCTTTTTACCAACAATGTTTACAAAAAATTCAACTTGAACTTGGAAAGTTGGATTACGTGCGAAAAAAGGGAGAAATTAAATACAATGACGAAGTAGAATCGCCGGCATTTAAACAACAACTGAGGCTGAAGATAATTATCTCGCACTTCAGTTACAATTACTCCTAATAATTCGACTACGAAAACTTAGGGTAAGTCCTTGAACAGAATTTAAGTTCCGAAAATAAAAAAAAGTTAGCTGCTGACTCAGCTCAACCTGGTTGGTGCTGTATTTCAACAAAATTGGTGCTTTACAAATCCCACTTCTATTCCAAACACTGCTATTAGTGTGTTATAACAATTTAATGAGTGAAAGCAGTAATCTGGTCGGCATACAACACCAAGTTTGTTAGTACACGGTGCCAATTGGATGAATCCGGTGAAGATTAGACATTGCGTAAAAAAAGAACTTTTTAGTTTAGTAGTAGTATTTTTTCTGACATTGTAATTTTTTTGTTGGTATTATTTTGAATGTTATTACGAGCAACTGTTTGCCAATAAAGAAAATTGGGAGAGCTTTTTTCTACTTCTTTCCTAAATCAAAAGTTAAACCGTGCCTACGCGTGTTGGAAGGGGAGGCGAAAAACACAGCTGGTGAGATCCGAGAAAAGAAGCTAAAAAATACGAGGAATTGAGAAGAACATGCAGAAAACGAAATATTAATAATGAAATATTAATGAGGAGCCAAATAACCTTGAGGGAGAAATTATAATGAATCGAGTGGACGTGGACGACGAGGAGCGTTTGACGACACGCTACTGTCGGCTGAGGGAGGGCAAAGAAGAAAGGTCGGCTCAAAACAACGAGATTTTATTTTTTAGCCCCTGAGAGAGAAAGACCAGATTGCACAGCCTCCTCCAAAGGAGCCGGCTGATGTTCGTTAATTTGAGGTTTGGCCTGGGGAGACTACATAGTTACGAAATCATAAAAACACGACCGCCAGGTTGCCAATTTATCTCGGGATTGATTCGCAGAGCCGATCTTCGGAAAAAGATGGGTGTCAACACACGACCTACAGGTGTCATTTCTTAGATGATAGATTTCGGGATGAGTTAACAGCGTCGATAACGAATTCGTGTTTTGATTGTTAAATTTTTTGGATTATACTGGAAAAAAGACTCTTGGATTCTGAGTCCAGCAGACTCTTAAATAATTTGACATGAAAGTATACTCTTGATTCAATCGGATTTTTGCTTGAATCAGAAAAAAATCCGCTCAAATTAGAAGGCTTGGCTCTTGATTCAAGCAAAAATCCGATTGAATCGAGAGTGTTTTTTCTTGTAAATTTATTTAAGAGTCTGGACTCGGGATCCAAGAGACTTTTTTTCCAGTGCAGAGTGAAAAATAAGAAAATAGATACCTAACAAAAACGGACTGAGGTGAAACAACGGTAAATACATAAACGGATTCGTCATAAGGGATCTGAAGTTAGAATTACCTAAATGATTTTTTTTCGATTTCTTTTTCATTTGGCAACTCATAGAGGGTAGGTCAAACCGCTGGCTTTTGATTAATTTTCCACCCGTTTCTGTTTGGTCGCAAAAGAAACACTGAATAAGGAAACATAAGAAAATACCGCCTTTGATCCCAAAAGACTACACAGTCGGCGAATTCTCTCATGAGAGTGAAACGATTATCTCAGGGGAGTGGAAGGAGGGACACAGGTATGGACTGACGTGAACTTGAGAACTTTACCGAATCTCATTCGGAAAAGTTGATGAAATTCAAGAGAAAAAGATGAAAGAATGATACAGAAGCTGTCTCGTGTTTGACTTTCCTGGAACTTCCGTAAATGTTAAATGATTGGCATGACATCATTCAACGCTGCCATGTAATCGAATGGATTAATTTAGTCTAAGGTGGGGGAAAGAGGAAGAACTAAGGTCAACATCCGCCAATTACGTATAAAATAAAGAGTAGGGGTAAATGCCGAGCCTGCTGTACAATAGCAATATCTCCTAGAAGAGAAAACCTGAATAGTAGTTCTGAGATTATAAAAAATCTGGTTGCAAATACTGGAAAAAAAACACACATTGGATCTAGAGTCCAGACTCTTAAAAACATCGACAAGAAAAATACTCTTGATTCAATCGGATTTTTGCTTAAATCAAGAACCAAGCCTCTTAATTTGAGCGGATTTCCTTTTGATTTAAGCTTAAATCTGATTGAATCAAGAGTGTTTTTTCTTGTCAATTTTTTCGAGAGTCTGGACTCAAGATTCAATATGTTTCTTTTCCTGGTGAAGAGTACACGGCCGCTGACGGGGAAGACTTGAAAAAAGCCATTTTTGGTCCTTAAAAATAAACTTTGACAGAAGAGGGAGTAATCATTAAAATTTCAAGTTGAAGAGCCCAGAATGAAAAAAAAACCCATCTTTTCACTTCAAAACTCACTTTTTTTACTAATTCCTCATATAGACATGTGTAAAAGCCCCAACGCAATGTACTACTATACTCTGACATAAGTTTGAATCTTCACGTAGAATTTGTCTTCTAGGAGGTATTGCCAATGCCAATAGACTTCGCATTGACAAATTATTCTGATGGTACACTAACAACATTAGTTAAATTCACCCAAACCCTGCGCTGTCAACAGAGAAAGCAGGACGAGATAATGTCCAAAACAGTATCAATACTTTTTGATAATTAAGTTCAAGAGAGATGAGGAAATCAAGACTACCTAAAATCTAATACAAGCTGTCAACGTTCTAATTGGAATGCGTTACGCTCATTGAGTAAATATTCGGATAAGACCGCACAAAATCTATTAGTTCGGACGGAAACCTAACCTATAACCAGAGAGACTCACAATCAGTTCCCACTCTAAAGTGCCTTGATGGTTCGAGATAAGAACCGTTATGGTTTAGCTCGTGAATGGTCACTTACGCAGTAAAAAATTCCGATTAGAAAATCGCTGACATGATCACCTGATAAGCGTTTTAGAGCTACATTGTAATAAAATCGACATGGTATGGTCCTATACGGACATGCTAAACTTTTAAGAGAATAAAAGATATCAGATAAATAATGTTGGGGCTCCAAAAAAAGGCTGTTTCATCAGTTGTTAGGGGTCGCTACTGACCGATAAGAGGTCAAAAACAAAGAAAATCATCACGAGAGAATGACCACCAGTAACGAAACCGTATCTCACCAAATATCAGAGGCGCTCCGAAGTTCGCTGACTTTAATCCTACGATACCATCACAGCACATTTCGCATGGCAAAAACTACACACGTGACACTCTTCGTCGAGAAATAAAACACAACGAACCAAACCGCAGAAAAACTCCGAATCAGAACCGAACCACAGCGAGAGAACCGGGATTTCGAAAGCATCGAAAAAAGGCGCTTAAATCGGACACATTTGATCATTCACTTACACCACTTGAAAAATCCGCTGATTCAGAAACTAATCAGCTCGCGACGAAAAAAAGGGGGAAAACACTAGGGACTAGATGACGGGATTGAGCACTAAGTCACGGGAGGTGAACCGGGATCACGGGTGGGGACGAAATACTGCAGTTTTGAATATTGCACGCCGAGGCGGTTATGCGAACGGGCGCAGAGGAGACGGCACAGGCTGAGAATGCGTCTTGGACACCACTAACCTCCGACGTCCACACACGGATCGGTCGGTCGGGCCAAGTTATGAATGAAACTTGTAAGACGCGAGTAAAAAAAGACGAGAGAGAGGGAGAGGCGAGCGAGCGGCGCCCGAGAGCGAGAGAGACGGAGCGAGCCCGGTTCGGGGAAGGAGACCCGGGCTGGGGGGCCCGGCGGCGGGGAGGGGGGTCCCGGCGGTGGGGGAACGCTGGAGTTGATATATGAATGAAAACTTGTTTTACGAAGCTTCCTCGGCCCCCCTTCCCACTCACAACGGCCGTTGCCGGTTGCTCCGACACGACACAAAAACCTCGCAACTCCGTAGGAGTTGCAGCGGCAGTTGAGTGGTTTTAGAATGGTTTTTAGGGTTTTTTGGTTGAGGTGGCAACGGGGGCTCACACTCTCGCTGTTACTCGCTGACGCAGAGATAGACTTCGTCACAGGCAGAGCGAGCGTCTGTGCGCCGTCCCTTGCTCTGGACCGCAGCCGCAGACTCGGAGCCAACGTTCGGCTCTTCCAGGAGGATTACGCCTGTTAACTTGGTCTCAGGCATGGTTGCCGCTCCCCCTGGACAATGAGAGAGTTCCCTCCGCCTTCCCGGAAAATATGGCGGTTTTCCCGAGAGATCTGGCATGGCGTCTAGTTGGGATGGAATTTGGTTCTTCCTGATCGACTTATACCACCGGTGATGACGAGAGATTGACGAGGTGGGATATTTTACGGTTCCTGAAAATGAAAACTAGGTCACGGGTCTCAGAATCGTTTTTCGATGGCCGAATTTAAAAATGGAACGCCAACTTTCGGCATCCGATGACGATGTGTTTAGTCCTTCGAACAGCAGACGATGCTCTTGGTATTGGTACCTCCAAGCGAACCATGGTATCTTCCATCTTCATACGGCGGTATGAAGTAGGTGTGCGGTAGCGCAGCCTTGGCGAATTCTATTCGACACTGATTCATGAGATCAATGTGGAGAAAACCTTGGTTTTGCATCGACAAGGTGCGGATAACATCTTCGATTATGTTTTTCTGGAAGGTAAGTCAATATTATGTCTGCCAACACTGGACATAGAAATCTGTCTTTTGGACGGAATGATTCGGTATTTGCTTGCCTACTTGCTCCGCAATTGAAACCGACTCATTTTTTTTTTTTTTACAAAAATCAAAAGTTTACTTAGCCTTGCGGCAAGGTTTTGTTTTTAAAAGAACCAAAATGGTCACAGTTTGGCAGGAGTTAGGTTTTAGAACTTGTCGAAGAGAGAAAAGAAATCGAAGGATGGACTTGACCGTCAAGTGGAAACAGTCGATGAAACTACCAAGAGTGCTGCTTTCAAAACTTCGGAGTTTTCAGTCAATAATTTATTTTGTTCAGATTAATGGCCAATCTGAAATGACCACGATGAAGAGCAGAAACGCGTGATTTTCTTATGAAAGCCCGAGATAGTAGGTAAAAATACTTTAAAACGGAGCGGAGCATTGCGACTTCACGCCTTGCAGCGTCGCACCTTCAATTTTGTAGACGCAACACGGACATCCATCGAGTACGAATAGTTGTATCTCTGCGCCGTCATCGGCGCGCGTAGCTTTGCGAGTTCACGCCTAGCGCCATCGCGCCTTCAATTTTGCAGACGCAACACGGACATCCATCGAGTACGAATAGTTGTATCTCTGCGCCGTCATCAGCGCGCGTAGCTTTGCGAGTTCACGCCTCGCGCCATCGCGCCTTCAATTTTGCAGACGCAACACGGACATCCATCGAGTACGAATAGTTGTATCTCTGCGCCGTCGTCAACGCGCGTGTTTTTTTTGTTCTATTTCCATAATACCTTTGTTTCTTTTGACTTATTTGCAGCGGTGCTTCAAGGGCTACGTGAGTGAATCAGCCGATGATGCATGCGAGTGATCAGCTAGTTCATTTCACCTGAATAAGATGGATAGACGTTACATCCAGGGGGAAAACTAAATTAAGGGTATTTTAGTTTTTCCTGTCAAAAATTCCATGTCGAAAATAATATATTGATTATGAAAATCGGCGTTTAGCTATACTGCCGTGCTAAAGAAGAACGCCTTATGGCCCTTAAGGCGTTGCCAATTCCCTCTGATAAAATACGAATTTATCGGAGAAGTTGTAAATATTTTTTTTTTTTTTTTTTTAAATTCTTCAGACTACTTTATTCGCAATTTTATCTGAGATATCTGAAAAATTCAAGGAAAAAATGCATAAATTTCGCCAAAAATACATGTTTCCTTCGAGGAAAGGCGACTCTCGAATGTTCATACGGCATCTCTCCTTGGTTCGACAGTATACCTCTTACATTGAGTCATAATATATCTGAACAAGGAGTACAACGACAATACTTGGGATTATAATATTGAGTAACTCAATATTTTTCCCAAGTTCGCAAGTGGGACTTTTCCCTGGGACAAACCCCGTTAAAACGTCGCGTGGAGACAAGGCCTCAGTGTGAGAACATTGTGAGCAGTCCATCATCGCAGGTCCTGATCTTCCCCAACTGACCGTGAAGTCAGCTGGGGTTAACGCGCCCGCACCAAGACAAGGCGAGCATCGCACCGGGGCCGGAGGACGTGTTTACACAATCCTGGATTCTGTCGCTCCTGCTGGCGTGAGAAAAAGACACGTTGTTGCGTATGCGTTGCTCATTCATAACTCCATCAATGAGTGTTTCATTGGGAGGACTCAGCCTCGGGACCTCGGGAGTGGGTCCCTTGGGCTGCGGGGGTAATAAATTCACTCGACCAATGAGACAAGTTGTAAACACATTTCGGAGCTCTCGAGCCTGTGCTCCAGTTCAGCTTGGAGTTCCCAGCTCAGATAAACGGGAGGCTTAGGCTCAGCACACCAGGAGAAAACTGCTGAGGGAAGCCGAGACCTCATATGCTGTTGGCATCAATTAGTACGCCCAAATGGGACTTTAATTACTAATTTCAATTTTATCGAAAAGGACTGGGAATATTGATCCATTTTTATCTGGTCGTCGTTTGAAAAGCACAGGGGGTCTTCAAACATGTCTTTCGAGGTTCAAAAACGATGTACCTGCCAAAGTCTGAATGAGAATGGTTTCCAAAAATACTGGATATTTCAGCAAAATAATCATTTCAAGCAAGTAATACAAGTTGATAAAGGTCATTTAAGTTCATATTTTCTGCTGGCATGCACTGGAAACAGTGGCTAATGTAAAACACCCGAGAGCTCAAAATGCATTCTTCCTTTCTCAACTATTTTTTAAATAGAATACAGATAGTCATTACAAAATATGTTTAATCTAATAACCGAAACCATTAGATCCAAAATTTAAATTTCAATCTTCCTAAGAATCTTACGTAACAAGAATTTTTTTTTTTTTAGTACAGGCTTAAAACAGTCAACGAGACCTATCAAAAAGTTTTGAATCGAGAATTCGTAGACCCTGAACGGCTTTCCTTGTTTTTTAAAGTCCCTAAATTTGCCCGCTTTCCTGAACCTTCGCAACTGAGTACTAACACACCTCATCCAAATAAGGTAAAGGTGGTTTCTATCGAATATAAATGACAGAAGGTTCGGCGGGCTGATTGTCGAAATTGATACACAAAGCGATAAACAAAGAAGGCATGAGGAGTAAGTAGCGGTCTCCTATGGGTTGAAACTTGAAACTTGTGGTTCTTATAGACTGAAAATAGTTTCTTATAGGAAATGATCCCTGATAGGTCTCTCGTGGGTTGCCGTTAGTTAGTTTATTACTTACTTCTTCTGTCCATTTCAACCACCTGCTTCCACCAATAGGATACCTTCATATACCTTTTGTCTTCTTTGTCTATATCTTTGTCTATAAATTTCAACAATCAGCCTGCTGTTCTTGCCTAAGGTCAACTTTCTGCTTTTTTAGGCGCATATTTCCCACGCCTTTCCATCTTTGATGAAAACATTTCATTTTTAGGAGCGATTCATATTTTGTACACAGGTCGATCACTCCGGAAAAGATTCACAGCCTACAAAATTGATTTAAACTAGCGTGTGCGTGCGCTCAACTTCCTAATACACGTAGAAACGCGATGCACCTTAACATAGGCGCGAAGGGGTGTTCGGGTGGTGTTCAGTTATCGACCCATCATCGCATCGGTAGCTGTCGGGCGCGAGGAGCCGGGCAGCAACCAGCTGATTGTAACCTACTGATACAAAAACACGTCTAGTTCATTGTTTGATCGCTGCATCTCCAGTGCATCCCGCTCGCTATGGCTATGCCTCGGATCCTCGGTGGCTGCGGCCCTCCGCCTCGGCCGACCACCTGATGACGTCACGCCCTGGTCAATGGTCACCTCTGCAGCCTCCGCAACTTCCCAGACGATCCGCTCCGTCCCTCTAATCGGTCTTTGGTCTTAGCCACAGCCCCGTTGCCTTGTCGAACGCCCCATTCGAGATGAATCGGCGCAGCCTAGAGTACACGGAGAAAAAAACTTCGCGCGTGAGACCCGAAGTTTAGGTCGTATGGATCTCTGAAGTTTTCGGATTGATTATTTGAACACTTAAGGTTCAGCTGCTGAGGTCGGTTTTCACTTCCGAGGAAATTCGGTTCTCACGTCCGAAAAACTTCGGTTCTCACATCTGAAGTACTTCAGATGTAAGAACTGAAGTTTCAGATGTGTGATTCAAACCTCGATAGCTAGACCTTAAGTGTTCAGATGCTCAATCTGAAAACTTCAGAGATCCATATGACCTAAACTTCGGGTCCCACGCACGAGGTTTTTTTCTCCGTGTACCTATATACGGGAGAGTATGGCCAGTCCAATATGTTTACTGAAGAAGAAGTTAGAGTGATGAATGGTGTGGCATCCTTCATGTGTTGTTAGTCAAACTTAGCACTGACAGTCCAAAATGCATGATACAACTATTTCGACTTCTGAGAGCCCAAATTGCATAGCCGCCCAAATGAAGGCTGTTGTAGCTTTCATTCGTTGAGACTTACGAACTATTCGATTTCGAAGTGGTCCAAGTGGTTTACCAAAAGACAGCCATTACAGGAA